GGAAAATATAATAATATAGATCATATTTATTGGATGGATCTTGAATCTTATTTATCTTGGTTTTATTATAAAGTACACACACATTTAAATTCAATTTTATAACATAGGAAAAAAAAAGAAATAAAATAATTTTTTTTATATCTCATACAATAATCTGTATTTCAATTAGGTATGCGACTTTTATTTAAAGGAAGAAGAAATTTAGTATTTATGAAATATTGTGTAATGCAAACTGTGTAATTACAAATATTTTTTAGTAAATAATCCTTAATCTGAAATTTTATGGAGTTTCTTTGGGTCAAATAATATTCAGTATTAACTTGAATTCGTACTTGTGTAAATTACCCAAGATAACTTAATATTGCATAAATGTGTACAGATTAACTCTTCTGATCTGTATAATCCGTATAATCCGAGTACGAGTAAATGATGCGTATAACCAGATATCGTGCGAAAGTTAAAGTAAACGCATGATTTCGATGTTTGCTGTAGAAGATATGTAGTTGATTTAATATTACGATACTTCATACAGAGATAGTACATGGATCAAAGAAAAGACAGAAATCTGAGATCAAAGTTTTCACATTAAATATAAGAATTCTCGAAATTTCACGCGAAGCCGAGCAAAATTATGTAATCATATGTGTGCGAATATTTGACTTCCTCGGTCGGCAAATCTCGTTCCGTCTCGACTCTTAGTAAATGATAGTGCACCATATACATGCATCTGTAATTACGTACGTCTGATTAAACATTATAATTGGCAGTCGGCTGAGACTCGTTAAAATCTCCATCTGCAGCTGTGATAAGCCCGACTGTCGAGTCAGACATCGGTTTGTCACAGTTTCTGATTTAATTGCATGATGATCGCGCGCACTCAAAAGGGCCTAGATAGCTAATACTTTTTTTATTTACAGACTCAGTTATACACAGGGTAATTTACTTAACATTAGGACCTAAAATATCTTCATTATTTTTTGTTATAAAAAAAAAATGTTTTAGAAAATGGAATAATTTTATGGGAAATGTATTTTGGTCATGTTATTTCTTTGCATATAAAAATAGAAATATTAAAAAATCAATAGTTTATACTTTATTCTGGCAAATATTGACATGAAATATAAAATGTCGCATAAATTATTTATTGTTTGGTTACTGTACTTTAATACTTTATGCAAAAAAACATATTGTTGTTTAAAAAAATTATGCAATTTGCACATTTTTTAAAAATATCTTGTTAACTATTGATTTTTTGATATTTCTATTGTAGTATTTTTAAATGCTATAATATTTATTAAAAGATAATTAGAGGAGTGCATGTTAAGTAAAGAAATCTAATTTCGTTTAAAAAAATGGAGGCCACTTTCATATCTTTTTGACGCCACCACTTAAAAGAAAATAACGTGACCAAAATACATCCCTTTTGAAACTGTCCCATTTCCATCTAGAACATTCTATCATATCATAACAAGTAACGGAAATATTTTATGTTTTAATGTTAAGTAACTCACCATGTGCATAATGTATTTGTATAATTCATACAAATTTATAGAAAATTTCATTTATTTAAAGTTGATTATTGAACGTAATTTTATTAAACTTTTTAATATTTGAACTTTTTTATTGATTAAGTTGCTGTGTGTGTGTCAAAGGTAATCAAAAAATAACTGAGTTTCTAGGAGTTTGCGCATAATGATTAAATGAGTTTGGATTCTAAAGTGCTAAAGGTGTTATAATTTTACGGTTGGAAACTTTCTCATGTCCTAAATTATTCAAACGAACATTTCGACTGGTAATTTCAATGTTTGATTTATTGGCGAATATAAACGAAGTTATGTTAATAATTATATGAGTCTCTAGCGAGAATATAGTCATGTTTTGTAGCTTAATTGCGATTATCTACCGAGAACTTTTCACGCGCAACTACTCCAATAGCGTCACAAGAAAGAAATGAATTCTGAGAGGAAGTTTCAATGTGGTATTTGCTAGCTCGTAGCCAAGTTATATTACGGCTTTTCTAGTTTCAAACGACCGCAATTTATGTGTCGTTCATGTGTCAAAAACTTTTAATAACATAGTTTAAATTATTCTGTATATATAGTATATTTCTAATCTTCTAATTATTTGCAATAACTGAAATAATAAATACAGTGAAAATTTCAATATTATGATTCATAACTATGTACATAATATAAAATTATGTTGTTATTTATTTAACATTAGAATTAGAATTTAAATTATTTAAAGTTAAAACAATGTAATATTATTAGAGTTGAACTGTAGGTATACATACAAATGTTTATAGTTAACATGAAATTTAAATATATACTTAAAAATTTTATACTGTGTGCGCGTGTGTATGTATGTAAATAAATTACAACTTATATACAACATGTAAAAATATTCTGTTTTATTGACAATTTGAGTACAACTACATGTCATGATCAATGGGTTTTAAAACCGTCCCATTTTTATTTGCGAAAAATAAATGACGTCTCTCCGTTAACGATTAACGGAAACTGTGTAATAACATGGTGAATTTTGTGTCGATATATCGACAGCACAAAACTGACGGACAGCTATTAAGCAGTTACTCGCGGAAAGCCAGATAAATTATTTTGCGGAAAGTCAAATAAAATGGTTTAAACGTGCTAAATAATATTTTATGAATGTATTATATATATATATATATACATATATATATACACATCCGTAAAAAATAATATGATTGTAAAACTGATATATGCTTTTGTTCATAAGAGAACAATCTTTTGATATAAACAATTAATCTATTATTATGTGTTTAATTAAAGAATTTACTTTTTTGTCTACGTGATTACAATTTAGATCTAATTTATCTTTTGATAAATAGTTATAAAATTATAATTATTTAATTGTTTATATATAAGTAATTAATTGTAATACAACTCTTTCTTATTTTCCAGATTTATCATTAAGTTAAATTATTTTGCATTTTTTTCTTAATCTTTTTCCTTAAATCATTATAAAAATGCTATTCGACATTTTTTATTTTCGATTGATCGTGTATAAAATATGACGTATACTGATGGCTGTATCTATATCAAAAACTTCATTTATTTGTCAACGTCTGAAAGATGAGCAAATCGTGTTTGTTAGAGATGACGGATGCAAATTAGGGAACATGGTTGAGGTCGAGGATAATATTTCTAGAGAAGCGAGCTTAATCACGAGCAGCTCTTTAATAATTGCCTTATCTGCGTAAACGAAATATGCGTTGCGCATACCGGTCGATATTCTTGTACGACTTAATCTTTTCATTTTTTTTATATATTAATAGCATAATATATATACTCGTATATATCAATTTTTCAAAAATTATTCCTATGCTTTAGAAAAAAACAATCAATAAGGTTTGAAAAGTCTTGTACGATACATAAAATATAGGCCTATGGCTATATAACTCAATATATCACGAATAAAAAGAGAAAAAGATATGTCGATAATTAGGTTCCTTAGGAAAGATAAAATTAATTGATTATCAACATCATTTTTACGCGTTGTACTTTCTGTCACATGTATGTTGTGATAAATCCACTTTACGTAATCTAAGTTTATCCAGTCATCCATTAATATAATGAAATTGTAGACAGTTTTTAGACAGCATTTCTGGAAATTAGTTTGTAGAAGAGAATTCTTATGAATTGGTTTAATTCTATATTACTTCGATGTTGTGGAAAATGCTATTATATTAAAATATTATATTAGAATCTTTGAAAATATTATTTAAAAAATTGTTTTTTTGAATCGTATTGTTATTTTTTCGAAACTGAGATCAACAGCATTGATGTGCAATATTTATTTTCTAATTGAAACAAAATTTTATAAAATTATGTAATATTGAATGAGAGAAAGAGGGAAAGTGAATCACCAGAAAATAAACAAAATAGTAGATACTACATGGCATTTTAATTTCTTATTACTCGAGAACTTAATATAAAGTATAGCTTATTATTATAATATATATTATTTATCAGGAGACGCGGTAGTGTCTCCGGCCATGTTCAAAAACTAAGAGACACTACAAGTCTCTTATCCCGAGCCACCAAAGTCCATTTTAGAGAGGTTAATTTTATGTATTAATTTTTATCATTTTATTGAAAAACTCAAAATGTTATAGTGTCCAAATAATTACATAAGAGCTCATGTTAAAAACATATTTCTAATAATTTGTTTATTATACACAAAAAGATCATTATTATTTTATTTCACATTTTCTCGTTTTTTTTATTTCATAGTTTGTAATAAAAGAAAATGTAATATTGCATTTTTACAATAATATATAACGACATGGAAGGTCAGTACTGTAATTAACAGTAGTGTAACTATTGTTACAGTACTCATTACAATCGGCGATTAAAACTTAAGCAGTAGAAGTTACGATATCTACCTTTACTACTTTTTTAGCAACACTTAATGAGAAATTCAATCTTATAACGAACACTTTCATTTTATGACTTTCAAACAAAATGAATTTTGTGTTCTTTAATGATTTCGGTACTTGATCTTGCAAAGATAATTTTATTGCAAAAAATAAGTTTTCATTGTGTTATATTTGAGTTAATCGGAAATATCTATTTTTAGCGAGATGATGCAAATTTAGGAACACTATTTTGAAGGAAAATGTTTTTTTTTTTTAAGAAACAATGCAAATACATAAAGATATATTAAGAATATATTTATATATATTTTACAAAAGTTTTTAAATATTGTATTTTTACTCTTCAGAATCAGAAGAAAAATGTACTCTATTTGTGATCACATACATTACAAGAATTATATTAAAATAAACTTTTTGCCTTTATATATTTCTTATCGAATACGTAATTCTGAGAATTAATTTATATCTTATTACTTAATTAGTTTTTATCATTAATATAAGGATTTCTTTTGTTTGCGTAGTGGAAAGATGAACGAGATGGAGCAGGTTCCTGAGGGTTGAGATTGCGTGAATCCTCGAGATGACCGGTTGGAGAATGCAGCCGACCGCTTCGGTGCTCGGCGTCATCGCCATTGTCTCTGTCATGATTACTGTCACAGCGTCAGGTAAGCGATTCATTGTACAGTTTTTGCTTGACGTTTTTAATTTTAATATAAGTTTATGAAACGCCTGCTAAAACTTAAATAATATACTAATACAATCTAATACAGTACAATAAAAATATTATTGTAACTTAATTTAATTTGTTAACTATATTTTTCTAAAATTACTTTTATATTCGTCTAAAATGATTTTATTTATTATCAATGAAACAGACATAAATAAAAATTAATTAAGAATTAAATGATTTCACTAAATTAATATCAAAGTTTTCGCACTATAAATTTAACCTCTTCACCCGCTGCTTGCGACAATGATACACTTTTGGTTGACTCGTGGCAAAATATTATTGCAAACAAACGGACAATTCGTTTGTCTCAGTTTATCGGGGGATGCGAGAATTTTTAATTAACCTGAATGTCCAACTGTGCCGTAAGCGTCGAGTAACAGCGGAAAACGACCGTGCTTGGCGAAATAAAGATGGCGAAATTCTTTTGTAGCTACCGTGCCAGTTGTTCTATACAGTCTTTATACGAAGATAACCCCACCGGAATTTACTTTCTTGCGCTTCCTAGCAATCACCATTTGGTACGCGAATGCTCTTTCACGCAGTTCCGCGCACCCTACGAAACCTGAAAGTACCGGATAACGAGATTGCGCTTAATGTTGCCAGCATTTTTACAGCTAAAGCCATTATCATTTTTATGAATCATAATAACTTCAATTTTAAGTGATATGTTCTTTTTTGAGAAAGGAACAAACAATATAAGCATCAATCGGTTTAAGTAAATATTATTTTAATACAAAACAGTCATAAACAAGTAAGATTAAAATATGTTCTTTACTTCTTTCTTATTATAGTCGAAGAAAAAAAATAGAAAAACCTCTTACCTTTTGTAAAATTGACTTATAGTATTAATTTGTGTCACAATATAAAAAATTAATATAATTTAATTATATTAATATATTTGCTAGAAACTATAAGCCATCAGAACAAAAGTATCTATATAATATGGAAGATAATATAATTAACGTAAATTATGTACATATGTAACACATACATTTGAAACTACGTAATGTAAGTGACGTCAGGAATAAATATAGTGATAAAGAAATAATTAATGTATTTATTCCATTTTTCTTTAACATCTTAAATTTTATATTGAAAATCAAAATTGTTATAACAAGTTAAACATTATTTTCTGCTGGTAAAATATTACTGCTCGTAAAAATATCTTTTATTTTCAAATCCAGATTTCTGCCCTGCAGACTTACTTTTATTGTAATTCAACCCTTCAAAGGCCGACGTCCATCTGGGACTGCATCTGTCGCGCCCATAGGAATAATCTACGGAATTTCCTTCTTCGCACGTTTCGCGAATTTGTCTATCACACGTGACAAGCGTAAATCCTTGCTGACAAATTGCAGAGCGCAGAGATAGGTGCGCCACGTTACTTCGGCACGTTCGCTCGATCGTAGCGGCCTGAAAACGCGCTCGGTTCGAAGATAGAAAAGGGAATTAGATACGAAATTTGCAGACCCAGCGAATGAAAAATGATACGTTACTTATGCATCGGTTACACAGGCCCGTTCGAAGGCTATCAATCACAAAGAACAAACGCGAAGTGTATTTTCATTTTATGGCGTGGGCTGTGTTTCGCGCCAGGCTAATCGCCGAAATTTCGCGCGAATCACTTCCACTCCTAAAGCAATAGCGCTTTTAAGCTTTGGCCGCCGGTGTACCGTACGATGGCGATCAATCATTCGCACAATTGCTTGTATTCGGGGCGCGAGAGATTGAAGAAAAAGCTTTCCCAGACGGATTGGCAGCAAAACCCGAGACGAGCGAGCGTCTTATCTGTTATCACAGAACGTGTTATTCGGAGCATGTTCACAGAGATCGGACTACCACGAATAGTAATACGTGCAATCCCGACAAAGCAAAGATTAATATGCCAACTTTGATAACACCATCGGAAATTAATCAAACAGAATTGGAATGTGCTGGAATAACAACTTAAATTCTATATTGGTTTTAAAAATATAAGCTTCAAAAATATTTTCTTTTTACTACGTTGTTATGAAATATGGAGTAAATAAATGATGATAAAGTGAATTTTCTATAAGAAAGAATTGTTCAGAAGATTCCTTGAATTCTCACAGAAATCATCGTGCTTCCACCGTTCTATAAATCGTTTTTCAAATATATTTTCTTAAGAACACAGCTTGAGTATATAAAAGCACGAAGTAAATAAATTGTGATAGATTGATTCGTCTGCAAGCAAAAATTGCACGAGAGAATCTAGCGATCTTCGAATTTTCCACTGAAATCTGTGTATACATGTCTGCCGTTTTATAAATCATTACGAACGTCGTCGGTAGCCAAAATTACACGGCGTTGCTCGACACGATCGATCGATCACTCGCGACGCAAAGCGCGCGCTAAATTGCTTCCGAACGACGAACGACGAACGAATGTCATGTTGTCGTTGCTGTTGCCGTTGCTGTTGCTATTACAACCTGTGCTATCGGCGTGGCCAGCAATATCGATTCGTCTAAACAAGATCGCCAACGCCAAATATCGCGGTATATATCGGCTTGCTGATGTTTGCGCATTTTCCGGACAGTCGGCGAGATCGGTGATTTCGGAAATTTTCACGAACTTGTATACAGCGATAGATTGTCAACGTAAAGATATATGTAGTTATGGCTCTAAAAAAGATATTTTTTTATATTGACTATTAATGTTACTATTGATTTTATTGATTGGACTCACATTCGAAATGCGTGGCTTTTTTAAAATTGACGCATATGAGATACTTATACACATAATTAATATTTTAATTTAAAAATATTTAAATATATATATTTATTAATATATTTATATTTACATATTTACTCATTGATTTAATATATTCATTCATATTGATCATATTTTTTATCTTTGTAAATTAACAGTTATTGATTTATAAACTACCGTATGATAAGTTAGACAATTTTGAAAGATTTTTAATAATAGTACAGACAGCATTAATTTATATTTAAAATACAATATATACTAGCGTTGGAAGACATAATATAAGATTGAAGAGTACATGACACGCTTTTCTTCTTTCTGTGGTGATTTGGTGATCTTCAATTTTCCGCAAGAGTTACGAAGATGAAAGAGATAAGGCTGAACTAGTGTGGCGTCTTGTGACGAAGTAGAGAAAATTGAAGAACAAATGCCTGAAGAACTATATATGTAAAAGCCTGTAGCCGTTCTGAGTAATGATAGAATGGAAGATATAGAGAAAGATAGAACACACTATTTGACAAAAAAAGTCGCGGCAGATAGCAATCTTATAATCCTCTTCGTATTCAGCACGGGCAGATATAGCAGTGATGAAGATGATCGCTCTATATTCATAGCGACTATTACTGTTGTGAGAGCAATATCCACTTGCGTAAATAGGATTGCGACGATTGTCAGACATCGTACGACTTGTATGAGTACATCAATGAATCCACGTTATACTCGTGACAATATGGTTTCATTGTACAATAAATAATAGCGTAATAGTTATTGTTATTGTTACGAATATATTTATTAAGAAATTTCTGTAAATCTCTCTCTCTCGTTTCTGTAAATGAATAAACCGATTACATCACAAGATATTAATTATATACTTTGAATATAAAAGAATTATATAAATGTAAAATATATTTTCATTTTTTTACAAAATTTATTTAGAAAAATTTCATATTATCATAATTACGAGTATGTATTTAAGTGTATTTAATTTCTCGTTAAACTTTTTTTTTGTATTTTTATGACTATCAAAGTGTAACTCTTTTGTAAGTTTTATTTACCTCGACGAAAACGTAAAGTTTTCGATTTACAATAAATCGTCTAAAAATATAGTTGAACTATGTGGATGGACTTTTTATTGTAACTATTCTATAAAAAAAACCGTCCACTTTCGTTGACAATAGAACAGATTTTTAATCCTATAAAGAGAAATGTTGATCGCGCTAAAGTAAATTTTGTTGGATGACAGAAAGCGTCGAGTGAAGTTTTCAAAAGACTTGTTTATCACGAGTTTTCTCATGGACTTTGATTGCAATCGAAGCCACAGGAGAAACGAAACCTTATACCGGAAACTTTGCCAGCGCTTTTCGCAAATAAAAGCACGATCGTGATACGCACGCTCGCGAAATGAAATTCCTGCGGAAGTAAACTCGCGGCACTTTTGTTTCGGGAAAATACGTGCCGCTGTGTAGTGCACAAAGGAATTACATACTGTTATTATCACATGGCTTTCGTCGCATAGAATATTTCAAGTGAACAGGATGTCGCGCAGATTTTCGGCTTTTGTTCTACGTTGCGGAAACGATAGTTTAGAATTGGAAATATTGTACGGATTACATAATCTTATTAAATTCTTGTTGCTAAAAGTGTATTGTGTGTATCTTCGTTACAGAAATATACGGATGTTAGTTTAATACAGTATAATCAAATTTAGCAATGTTTCCGAGTTTGCATACTTTCGTCGTTTTTAAATAAATTTGATTCAAATGTACTGTCTCACTTTATAACATTTTTAGATCTGAGATTTTGATTGGCTCTCCTCTGGGAGCTTTTAAACGTCCCATAAAACTCCCAGCTGCACTTCTTACGTCCACATTTAAATCCTTGCTCCAACCGGAGATCATTCTACTCCATTCCAAGTCATAAATCTCAGCGTAGTGAACGCTCCGCCTCGTCGGCATGTCGATTCACCCTCGACACGACCGATGAACCTGTGTTCACCCTTACATTTCCCGCCCACGATGCGCATACATCTATTCCAACTTAACTTACTTATCGTTAACATGGTTGTTTGTTTCTTCTTGCAGAAGCGGAGAACGGCGCCATCGAGCGTGGCATTAATCATCTTGACGAGGAATATCAACGCCTCGACGAGAGAATCGCGAAGAATCGCACTTTCGAAACCGTTGGCTGGTCTCGCGGCAACGACACAACAGCTCTCGAGGAAGTCATTTCCGCTTTTACGGTTGAGTACTCAACAAAGGATTCACCCCCGCTCGTTACCGTGGTGGATTCGCATTTTGAGAATACGTCGAAGAATTACGTAGACGATCAGATGATATTCGCCTCGAAGAGGATCGAGAACTCGGAACAGGCGGAAGAAGCTCTGGCAAAGAAGCTGGACCACGAAGACGTTCAAGGAACGAACGACTCCAGGATAGAAAAGCCGAGAGACGACTGGTTGACAGTGATATCGATGGAGAAAGAGGAAGACGTTACGGAAGCGAGATACGGCGAGCAGAGAAACTCGCAAGATATCAGGGCGATCTCCTTCCAAGTACCGCCGGCAGATGAGAAGGAGGAAGACTATCAGGACAGCCGACAACAGGGAAAAACTAGCGTCGGTCACACGGACGAAACGAGGAAGTTCGGCGAGACCAAGAAAAATCAGTCTAGACCGGCGAATAACTTGCTGCTGACCGGCAAGTCGACGAAGGCCTTCTACGAGATTAAACCGTCGATCAGGACTCTAGAAACGGAGCGCGGTCGTGATCAGTTCCAGATAACCACTCACAGGACGTTGTCGGGCAGAAAGTTCGTCTTGCCTAGCGTCGATAGCGCTTTCGGAAAATTCGGTCCATATTTCGAGGACGGCGATCGAGAGATTAATGTCACCGCGAGAATCGGCAGTACTGTTTTATTGGACTGCAAGATCGGCATGCTAGGCGATAAAAAGGTGAGTTGCTTCACTGTTAATTTTTCATTAATTTTTGTCCTAACTGTTATAAAGAAGAATATCAAATAATGGCGTATGATCGAATTTTTATTATAAGCGGCAACCTGTCGTACAACAAACGGGCAAATAATGAAGGAAAAAATTGATGTGTTGAGTCAGATATTTTTATTTCATCGATGACAGTTTGTCGTGCAATAATCCGGAGCGTTACGCAGCGAAAGCCATGAATAGTATAAAGGAAGCGTTCCTCGTTTTTAATATCTATTGACGTTGTGTTATATTCTGTTTGACAGTGGATTAATCAGTAATTCACACATGTGCTTGTAACACTTGTTTGACACTTATTGTTAGCACTTAATGTTTAACGCATGAGTGACATTCCCGATAGTGCTTTGAATTCGTTTAAAAGTTCCTTGTAATATGAAAAACATGTATTATATACAATCATTTTTTTAGCTGAATTTTTTGTACAGTTTACCTCTCTTTCTCTCTCTCTCTTTCTCTTCTTTTTTCTTTAATGTAGAGAAAAAGGAAAGAAAGAAATATGAACTGTAAGAATTTCAACTAAAAAGAATACACCTCGTTTTTTCAAGTCTTGTCGGACCTGTTTAGAATTATAAATACATTCGAATCTTCTTATAATCCTTTTATTCGATTTTAAAATCTTTTTTGTTTTTATAATTTAAAATAAATTATCTTTATTTTATAAAATTTAAGAAAACAATTAATACCTAGGAAAGCAAAGGAAACTGAGAGATTGCGCGAACTCATAGTCTAATCAGAAAGACCGCGTATTTTTCTCCGTTAAATAATGAATCGAGGAGAAAGCGCAACTGTGATCGAGATGGTAAAGCAAGGGTGCAAGAAAGATGCAACATCGAGTAAACAGAAGCGCAGATTATAATTGCAAACATCGTTTGTTAGTGTCTGCTGCGTGTACGATCTCGTCTGTCTTGTCGTTGCAAAAGTTTTCGCATTTCAATCAGTGCTACCTCTCGGTACCTCCCTGGCCCTTTCTCCCGTGATTTCTATGTCCATTTGCTCCTCGTCGCGCTTGGGCGGTTTGAAGTTCCGAGACACCCGTTCGAGATTCCCGTGGGATTCATATTCCACGGAATACGTAATGGGAAACCGATTGCGGTGGGACGGCAATGCCAAGGAACGAAAACGAGTGCTCCCGATTCGAGACGTGTGTGCGTGTCGCGCAAATGTCACCTAGATTGGTATACGAGACACATAGCGCGCTATGCGTATAGTATAACGCGCCGCGCGTTCCAAGAATAGCAAATAGCTCGAAGGGAACTTAATTATGAAATATTGCTCATGCCGTTTGCCAAGTCGTTTCAATCCTTTCAGTAAAACGGCTACTTAAGACGTCGAGGAGAATGGTTACTCGAGGAAATATTTGTTTGTAGTAAATGTTTACTTGCACACACAATCATGAATTTTTGAATAGAAAAAATGATTTCTATATACAATCTAGGCATTATTACACAAAATACATTTGTACGTTGCATATTTGTAATTTTATTGAAAGCGACATCACACGGTTCGAAAATACTTCGTCGAGAAAAATAAAAGATGAACAGCGATGATAGTTAAAAACGTTGTGCGTTTTAAATTAAGATCTGAATTTCTTTTTTGTAACTTGATATTTTCATGAAAAGAGAAATTAAATATATTATACGTTATGAATTATACATACGTGAGATAAATTTATATTTTTAAAACAGAAATAAAGATAATAGTTTATTCTCATCTGCTATTTAATTAGAAAACGTAATAAAATTAAAATAATTTATTATTTAATTTGAAATATATTAAGCGTACTTTTGATATTCATAGTAGCCATTTGGTTGATTTTAAAGTTTACTAGTTAAACTTTTATACGATTTATTTCCTTCTGGCGTCACGCCATCCTACCTCAAATAACAGTTGAACTTTTATTAATTTCATCAAGTTAAAGAAATATTAAAGCAGCTGTTCTTGCATTTAGTGATTTTTATCCAGATAATTTTTCTGGCGATAAATTTAATTTCGACACGCATTGTAATAAATCCGTCCGTGATTTGCCCAGAAATCATTTTCTCCGTTTCTCTTTCGACGGAAGTTCTCCATATAATATAATTCGGCGCATCTATGAAATCTCCCGGATGGTTAATGTTTCTGTCGTGGACATTAAGTTTTCGCGAGATAGACTTTTATCCGCAATGACAAACCGTGATAACTTGTCCTGTGATATCCCGTTATTGCGTCGGTTGGCACGTATGGTATGAGGTCGAATCTCGAGAGAAAACTTTGTGCAGAAAGAGGATATAGCGGAAGCATCGCTATAGACAGCATAAAAGCTAGATTGCACTATGTAAGTTTTAGTTTTGCTACACAATGACGAAATTATAAATCGTTACAAAATTTTTACAGTTTTCTCCAGTTAATTAAATAAATTACGATAATGCTTTGAAATGTTTACTTAACTTTGTAGACCTCTGTTTAAGGTTACCCTACTTTATTTTAAAATTCTTATTCAATTTTTATGAAACTTATGGGGTAATTTGATAATATTTTATTGGAATATGAAGTTCAAAATAAAAAAATGTTAAGTGATGAATTTAACATAATAGACAGAATTTTTAAAAATAATTTGATTATCATAAAACTTGGTTTTAGGAGTTTTTAATTACGAAGTATATATAATAACATCAAATTTCCAGTTTTGCTTTATTTGAAACTCATGAGTGATACGTAAACAGTTAGTACACTGATTTCCAAATAGATTGAGACCAGAATCAAATTCAGCGATTTCGAAAGAGGCAGCGGTCTTTAGAAAATAAGATCTTCCATAAGATATTTTATTAGAAAAATCTGGTCTTCAAAGGATTAAATCAAAAACATGGCTGCTGTACTATTAAATATTTGACGGTAATGAAATGAAAATTAGCTAAAACTTAATAAAAAATTTCGTATAAAAATAAGAAACAAAAGGATTGATGAAAACTAATTCCCTTTATACAGTTTTTTTTTTTAGTAAATTCTAAAGTAAGTTCAAAATAATTAAATTATGATTATATCTGCTTTTATTTAAGAAATTAATTATTACGAATTTGATATCATTTAATTTCTATATACTATTGTTTAATAATCGTATCGTGTAAACGAGCCTTAAATCAACATTTCTTTGGGCGAATACCGAGCTTCGCGTAAATTGTCTACATTTATTGCTGACATACACGAAGCTCCGCAGAAATTGCTCGCTGCCTTTTTGGATATCTAAGAGCAAAAGGAATTATTAATTTTCAACCATCGCGCACACGTAATCTCTTGAGATATATTTCCGTTGCATTTGTTTTGAAAATCATAATAATTGCTTGAAGAATTTAAATTTTAAATATCTTGAAGTGATCATATAAAATAAATACATGATGCAATATATAGTTTGGCGAAAAGATTTACTGATAACGAAATTTACTAATTAGTGTTATTTTTTTTTACAGGTAACGTGGTTGCAGCATAATAAGGATTTCTTTCGACTGTTGACAGTAGGCAGAACGCCATATAGCAACGATCAAAGAATCAGTCTTAATTTTCGGTGAGTCATAATCTTCTTTATTTTGTATATCGATTTTTATGAAAAAAAAGTCGATGTTAGAATTATTTCGTGGCATATATAATTTTATTACCTTTAAAGTAGAAATTCACGGAATTACAGCGTAATTTTAACGATAAAGCTGCGGTGAAATTGTCAATGTTATTATCATAATTCGTTATCATTCGCGGCAACCAACCGCGTAATCGCGTCGTCAGAGTTGAATTATCATCTCACAATCAGTTGATTTTTACTGTCGCCGGAACGAATTCGATGTCGCCGTTCGTAAGGATGAAAAATTTTGCTTTCGTCTTCCTTCGCTAGGATTAAATCAGCCGTTTTATGTGCTATAAAAATCAGAGTCGACCACGTTGTAACATGAAGTCCCGCGCCGTGACATTACTGCTTCCGTCCATTGAAGCAGAGCGTATTATTATAGAAGTCTTTCTTAGGAAATAAAATGTCAATTTTCTTCTATTCACATCCTATTGCAGTTACTACATGACAAATTTACAAGTGTATCTGTGTCAGTACCGTCAGAAAATGCATGTATCTTTTGTGGCTATTTTATCTTTTAGCCGAACTTTAACATCATTTTCTACTATCTTGTCCTTTCTTGTTTGATTTCATAGATATCCTAGCAATTGGAGACTGCAGATACTTTACGCGAACCCACGCGACTCAGGGTTGTATCAGTGCCAAGTTGCCACGCATCCGCCACTGGTTAAGAAAATCAACGTCATCGTTACGGGTAAGTAAAATTTGTCTAATTTAAAATTTAACATTTTCTTTTGAGAGTGTTAAATCATTTTTTAGTTTGTATAATTATTCGATATTTCCAGCAACAAGATGTTTACATAATTCTAATTTAGTATATTTTATTCACTTAAGATTTAAGTCCACGAAAGGAGTAACATTGAGGAACTTTTGTTGTTATAAATAATAATTTATAGCAACTAATAGAAACAATTTGTCTCCATCGAAGAAAGTTAGTTCGAAGGAACTTTTTAGTTTTGTTCTAGTTATTGAGATAACAATCTGTTTCCGCAACTGTTGTATTCACCTGATCAATAAAGGCTTTACCGTTCCGTAAAGCACGTGATGCGCGTGATATGTAATTGAAATAATACAAGTTCTAGAAACAGAATATTATCCATTGTTGTCTATGTATATTATTTCTATATGGAAACAGGCAACTTATATTTCCATTTCTGGCGATAATGAGGAGCATACAAAACATCGAAAAACGTGTACTGAAACTTTTTCAGAAACAAGTAACTTTTTGCAGAAACAGAAATGTTGCTTTATATTCCTTTGATCGATAGATGTACGCATCTTTCGACAACTTTTTATGATATCGTAACAACGCTGCAACGTGCAAAAAGAAATAAATAAACTATAGATGTACGCAATCAGACATTTTTATATTATAATTTTACTTTTTATATTATAATACTTTAATAAAATAGTTAATCAGGTCATTTATTTATTTTCTAATCAATTAAATTGATAAATATCCGGAGTAATAAGTTTCGATCGTGTTAAAATTCTTTAATTTTTCGAAGAAAAAAATAGCAATTTATAACAGCAATAACAAGAAATACCGCATGAAATTCTGCCGTACGTGTGATCGAAAATTTCATACGTCCGTACCAGCGCCCGGACGTGAAATCCAAAGGCATGAGAGCAGTGTCCGAGATCACCGATGATAGAAAAAAAATATTTCGTTCAAATCGCGTACCCGGAATTGTGTTTGCATCTTTACCTTTTGTTTTGAAACGCTTCGACATACGTTTATAATTTTCGGTCACATATATATATATATGAGTATATATGAGTGATCGTCAATTGTTTCGCTCGAACAACGATCCAAACTTCAATCATATATAATAACAACAATAACTACATTTTTAATATAAATTGTGTGATAAAACTTAATCTACAAGTTTAATAATGACCCAATGTCATAGAAGACAAGGGTTGGACATGTGAAACCTTCTACTTCAGCATTAGCCGCTACCTGTTGGAATACCAACTTGAAATATTCATCGCTTCATCTACGGTGCACAGTAAGCTCAAGCTTGTACAAGCTTAATTAATCCGAGCAGAATTCGCACTCAGGCCGCGCAAAGTTCACACGTGCAAAACGTTTCGCACGTGTGAACTAAAAAGTCTCGACCCAAAAAGAGGGTAAATTGAAGGATCGTTTGCTTGCGTCCCTTTTTGCAACCCTGCCGCAAGAGAATCCTATTCGGGCACAAAATCGTTCAATGCCAAAGAGAAACGAAGGAGGCCGGTCGGATCGTATGTTAAACCAAGAAAAGGACAGATGAGGCGAACGCGAATGGGGGAAAGGAAAGGAGAACAAAACGTGGGAGCGTACGAAGTCGGTATTGCATCGCTCGTCGTTACCCTCAATCCCGTTACGTCGCCGATTCGGTGCAATGGAAACCCGCATTTCTCGGGATAAAGCGCCTCAGCGTGGCTGGTAATCTGATCCGATCCAGAGGAGAATCGGTAGGCAAGAGTGAACAAAAGCCGTCTCTCCAGAAATGAAGTAGGACAGAACAAACCCGGATAGAGCGACGTTGTTACATACCTTCTCTTCGCTACTCAAATCAAAACTCTCCTTACATCTATCAGTATCATTATAGTATTTGCAATCCTGTGTAATCCTATAATTTTTTCGGCTATCGATCCTATCCTTTTTGTCAATGAATGAGTGACTTAGAATTGTTAAAATACATCGTTTTATGGCAAAGTTGTAACAATGGTGTCAGCGAAATATTTTTTTCATATTGATGAAGGAATAAAGCCGTGAAAATGTTTTAATGTAAAAATATTGCTTCTATGGTTTAAGATCAATCGCGGGTATCAATTGTGTTCAGTTTGATAGGAAATTTATATCATTTTACAATAGAGTTTCATGTCAGTTTGCAAATAAATAAAGAAGGAGAGAGAGAGAGAGAGAAATAATTTACGATTCTCAAATATAAACTAAATACAAGGTGACTTGAAATTCTGAAGAGAATCTATTTAAATGTTATCCTTTCTTATAATTTTGTAATACATGATGTTAACTATTCTGTATAACTTGTTGCCATATTCTAAAAAATGCATATATGTTTTGTATATTTATATTTGCCGTCTATCAAAATGATCTTAGGAATTATTAAAATTATTTTCTATTTTATAAATGACATATACGTATAAGCAAGATGTCAAAATTATACTATTAGAAATAATACATATTTTTAATATTTTTGTGCATGTTTAAATTTTTATTTATTTAAATGGCGTTTCCGAGAACTTTACGTGTATCTATTATAGTATGACTTTCATTTCCATCACGTGAGACATATAAATCGGACATTGCCAACGACATGAAAAAACGTAATAAAATAGAAAAAAAAGGGGAAAAAGATAGGCGCGAAACTCGCGTGTCTCACAATCTGGCCTCGTTGCAACTGCAATGGATCGTAGAGCAACGAACGGAATAAACTTTCGGAAATTCGGATACACTGCACAGTGCCGTTTCATTATGTGCTGTAGCGCAATTCTGGCCGTGCATTTCCGCTTCCGTGTGTGAGGATGAAATTACTTTCCCGCATGACTCTTCTCACACGGTCCTTTCTGCTCTTTTGCTAAAACACACCGAAACTCGTCGACCTTCCGTCCGTTCCTTTCAATCCTCCCATCTCATTATTTCGCATAACTAGCTCGACATTGCAAAATACTGCAACACAGCAGACAGAGTTTTAATCCATTATATCTCAAGATTAAATGGAACTACCAAAGAAGAGAGTTAACTTTTGAAGGATTTCTTGAAAGAGCATAATATTTTCAACAAACAAATTACACAAGATTTTCAAGACATTTTATGTAATATTAAATTCTTATCCATAATTTGAATAATAGCTTAAGAAGACATTAACACTTTTGAGCTTTTGATAATCTCGCTAACGTTCTATATAAATTGAATGTCCAAAAATGAACAAGAATTACACGATGAACTTTAATTTATTATATCCTAAAGTTAAACAAAACAATATCAAATAACAGAGAATAGTCTAGAGGTTTGTAATAGCAGAATATTTTCATATTATGAATATTACGGATTAGAAAGAGGTAATAAAAAGACTATCATATTGTTCTTAACATAATAACATTCTTAACATACTTGTAAGTGAAAGAAAGATATCTACAAAATGTCAATGTGAGGATATAAAATAATTACTGACAAATGTCGAAATTTCTTCTTCTAATTATCTTATTTTTCAAATGCAGTTTTTTGTTTTTATACCTACTGGTTTAGTTTGCTATGAATAGCTCGAAGCGAGCCAAAATGATCGAACTCATTGTAAGCAAGTTAATAAAGACATGAATATATTTTTATAAGATTGTGCAATGATTTCTATGGAGTTATTATCACTTGCCTGTTATTTTTAAATATCTGTTTATTTTTTTTGTACCTATCTTATTTTTACAATAAATGATAGACCAATTAGTAAGTATTTGCCGACTTATATGTGTATTGAAATATCTTGTTTGTCTAAGATGACAAAAATAGGATTTGTTTCTCGCTGTTAACTTGAAAAGTGGAATCAGGAGACAAATCCAGCGATATAGTTACTTTGTGCAGCGTGAATCAGCTTTCGCACAAGTTAGTTTTAGCGCGGAAATGTGATCTGTTTTTACAGCTGGCTAAATAAGCTACGACTGCGAGCACGAGGTCCTGCGACGCGCAAAATGGCTCTTATTAAGGAACACGCAAACAATGGCAAATAAAGAGAGTAAACATATTTCTCCTGATCCTGACCTTATTTATTGTGTAGGCAAAGAAATTCAGGGGTGGAAAAATCAACAAATGGAAGTTGCCATAAGTAAATTGGAAATATTGATAATAAAATACATTAATTTTTTAAAATTTTGTATAGCACAACCATTATCAATTGAATTTTAGAATATAGGTATTCAATAATTGTTTTATTAGTCAATTTTTTTACTAACAACAAATTGTGTTTTTGTGTTTGCAAAAACAACTGTGTTTATAAAAACAGTACAAAATGTTTTATGAAAAGGAAATTTTAAGTAAAATAATTTGGCTTTTTAATTCTATTAAATGGCCCCTAAAAAATTAATATTAGGTATGAAATATTTGACATTACACAATATTATTAATATTGGGCTACATATGTGGTATATAAAAATTCACACATACTTATTATTAGCACTTTGATCCAGCTTTGACCGTTATAGGCGTTTAATTCCTTCCTTGTTTGTAGACAATTTACGGTCGGTACAAAAATTAAATATTATTAATAGTTTGGGAGCAATATTGAGGGTTTGTGTAGTATATTAATCAAAAGTTCTTCGAAATATATTGTTCAACTGGTTAAATATTGATCTGTGGGCACATTTCTCAATACATGCCAATTTATAACGATTGATTTTTAACTTTATAAATAAACTACGTTACAAAATTGATAGTAAATAATAAAACTTGAATGGTCACTTTTGATTACATTTATCTTTTAAAAAAACTAATCAAATGCATCCTTTTTCACTTGTCACATAAAACGATAGCCGTTCCAGATAAAGAAGTGCCGTCCAGTTTAGAAATGTACAGAATTTATCTTCAGTAAATCTTATTGTTAGCTCGCTTGGTGTAAGATCAAGTGATTCTAAATATTTTGTCGAATGTAATTTGTACGCACATATAGGTAAAGTTTCAAACATTAAACTCAAACA